TGATCAGCCCGCCTCAAACTCCCAACACCTGCTTCTTTTTGAAACTTTTTCTTTTTGGGTTTTCAGTTCTTCTCCTCCCTCTCCTCCTCCCCTTTTCCTACTTTTATCTTTTCCTACCTCTTTGACCATTCCTTCTGTCACTCTGTCTCTTTGATGTACTGTTTCTAAGGCTGTGCCCTTTGCCTCTATTCTCTTAGCCTTTGTTTCTGTGCAATCTCTAGACTATCACTTTGTGATGTCTCCCGTGTCATTTTCTCTAGTACTAACTTTTCTTTCTCTGTTTTTTTTTTTTTTTTTTTTTTGGTATTTTAGTATAGAGACAGGGTTTCACCATGTTGCCCAGGCTGGTCTCGAACTTCTGAGCTCAGGCAATCTGCCCGCCTTGGCCTCCCAAAGTGGCCCACAGGTGTGAGCCACTGTGCCTGGCGTAGATCTAGTACTAATTTTTCTGTGGATTTCCGAGCCTGTAATTCCTGGCCTGGATTTCCATCACTTTTAGGACATCTCCAGACTCTCAAACACAGACTAAACTCATTTCCTTCCACTTCCAACTTCTTTCCCCTTTTTCTTTCCTATTTATATTAATAGCATTCCATGCTTCTGTCCATAGCTCTCACATTGTCACAAAGTTCTGTAAATTGTCTCTTAAAGTTTGTCTTAAATCAGTTCCTTCTTCCTCTTTGCCTTAATTCAGATTATAATAATCTCTCATCCTAGTTTCCCCACTAAAGTGATCTTTTTAAAAACTATAAAGTCATGTGACACATCTATGTCTGTTCTATTCTGTTCTGTTCCCAAGAACTCTGTAGTTTGAATTTCAGTCTCTGAAGAAAACATTTAAGGCCTTTCACACGCATATCCAGCCTCATTTCCTGCATCCCCACCTAACAAACTTAGCCCTGGCAACCTACATAGAACATCTTGTAGAAGCACACCATGACTTTTCACTCTGTGTTTTCCTTCTGCTCTGCTTATCACACTGCAATTTTTCCCCCAACTTTGTATTTTGGATCTCAGGTTCACAGGACTGAATTATTCACATGCCGCAGTTCATGGCATACTATTACAATTGGCCCTTCCAAAGTCCTTCACTTGTTATTGATCAATGTATTCCTTTTATCCTTATTCCCATTTCTCCTAGACTGTAACTTACTCATGTGTTTAATGTCTATGCTTTTTTATATTTTCCTGTAAAATAAGTAGTACTTTTAATTTCTATAAATGATATTATGTTATAAATTTTATTTCTTACTTTTTTAACTTAGAACTGCTTTCGAGTTCTCTCATGTTGCTACATCTATTGCTTCTGATTGCTGCATTGTACTCTATGCTGTGCATCCAGCATATTTTACCTGTCTACTCCCTTGATAACAGACACTATGAATGTTTTATGCATGACCTCTTGGACACTGGATCACTACCTAAAAGCAGTTCTCAACCCTATCAGGCTCAACAATCTCCCTTAAATATTAATAACAAATACAATGTCTCCATTATTGTGCAGTGAAATTCAAAAATAATATAATTGACTGTGGTAGGTGGCCTCTCAGAAAGCCCCCAGTGATCTCCAGCGCAATATTCTTGCCCTTATGTAATCGCCTCTCCACGAATTTGGGCTGCACTTTTTCTTGTCTGAGACAGAGTCTCACTCTGTCGCCCTGGCTAGAGTACAGTGGCGCCATCTCAGCTCACTGCAACCTCTGCCCCCGGGTTCAAGCAACTGTCCTGCCTCAGCCTCCTGAGTAGCTGGGATTACAGGTGTCCACCACCACACCCGGCCAATTTTTGTATTTTTAGTGGAGACGGGGTTTCACCATGTTGGCCAGGCTGGTCTCGGAACTCCTGACCTCGTGATCCGCCCGCCTCCGCCTCCCAAAGTGCTGGGATTACAGGCGTGAGCCACTGCACCCCACCTTAGCTGCACTTTTAGTGAATAGAATAGGGCAGAAATGATGGGATGTCACTTCCAAAATTAGGTAACAAAAAACCTGTGAGTTCTGTCTTTTGGGTTCTCTCACTTGTATCCTCTGGAGGAAGGCAACTGGCACACTGTGAGCTGCCCTATGGAGTGGATTACATGGAAGGAACTGAGGGAGGCCTCTGGGCAACATCCGGTGAAGAACTGAGGCCCTTATTCCAACAACCTTGAGGAACTGAAACCTCCAGCAACCTGTGAGTGACTCTGGCAAATTCTCCTCCATCAACACTTGAGGTATGACTGTGGCCCCAGGTAACATCCTGACTGCAACAGGAGGGACCTTGAGCAACAGGCACCCAGCTAAATCGCACCCACATTGCTGACCCACAGAAACTGTGTGATAAATATTTGTTGTAAGTCACTAAGTTTTGGGGTGATTTGTTATACAACAATAAATAACTAATATATCTACCTACTCACATAATTTTGAAAATAACATAATACCGTAACAGGATCCAGTGATCCAGTGTCCAGGAGGTCAGGCATAAAGGTAATATAAAGTAAAGTAAAAATAGTAACATATGTTTCTTTTTCTTTTTTTTTTTTTTGAGATGGAGTCTCATACTGTCGCCCAGGCTGGAGTGCAGTGGCAGGACCTCTGCTCACTACAAGCTCCGCCTCCTGGGTTCACACCATTCTCCTGCCTCAGCTTCTCCAGTAGCTGGGACTACAGGCGCCCACCACCACGCCCAGCTAATTTTTGTTGTATTTTTTAGTAGAGACAGGGTTTCACTCTGTTGGCCAGGTTGGTCTCAAACTGTATCAGGTGATCCGCCCGCCTCGGCCTCCCAAAGTGCCGGGATTACATGTGTGAGCCAGCGCGCCCAGCCAACATATGTTTCAATATATAAACACTCGAGCACTAGGGGGTATAATGAAGATTTCAGATGCTTGTACCTATATGTAGAATTACTTTGAATGCAGACTGATTAGAGTGAGTATTGTCGACCTAAAAGGAAGAAGCTGAGGCAAAATTAATATAAATAGAGAGTTTATTTGGGCCAGACTTGAGGATTGCAACTCAGCAGCATAAAGTGGCCTGGAATACACTCTAAGATTAGCAGCAGGTACAAGTGGATTTTTAACGGAAAAGAATGAGGACGGGGAGTGGGCTGACACAAAGTTGTCCTTAAGGAATTCTCATTGGTTTACAAAAATAACATTGATTAGTGATTGGCTAAACATTATCAAGCTATAGGGTGTGGGATATAGTGTCTGGTGGGGCATAATTAGGCTAATTTATAACTAATACTTGTGGAATGGCAAGCAGTTTTAAGACATAAATACATAGCTCAAAAGGGGGCAAGTAGGATGTGATTGCCTCTCATTTTAATGCCTCTCAGGGCCTAATAATTTAACTCACTTTCCTCAAATCAAAGTTCTTTTTTCAGTATTCACTATTCAAATTATTACAAGTGATGTTGCTTTTGGTGACGTTATTTCTTGAAATGGTACACAACTCTTAATGAATTCCAAACAAAACAATACAATTACTATTCAATTTTGGGGCAATAACATTCCTAGAAAATTCAACGTACATTAAAAGTGTGGGAAAATGCTTTGTGTGTTTTTTTTTTTTTTTTTTTTTTTTTGAGACGGAGTCTCGCTCTGTAGCCCAGGCTGGAGTGCAGTGGCCGGATCTCAGCTCACTGCAAGCTCCGCCTCCCGGGTTCACGCCATTCTCCGGCCTCAGCCTCCCGAGTAGCTGGGACTACAGGCGCCCGCCACCTCGCCCGGCTAGTTTTTTGTATTTCTTAGTAGAGACGGGGTTTCACCGTGTTATCCAGGATGGTCTCGATCTCCTGACCTCGTGATCCACCCGTCTCGGCCTCCCAAAGTGCTGGGATTACAGGCTTGAGCCACCGCGCCCGGCCGCTTTGTGTTTATTAACAAAGATAGGTTCAAGCCTCACATAACTACTTTTCACTCACCAAATGTTCAGCAGGACATTCAGAAATCGTGTGTATTGCGGGATTTTCTTTATGTAGCATCATCTGTTACACTGTAGGACACATATTTTATATCCCTAGCTCTGGCTTTCCAATGCCTGTGGTTTTCCCAACCATTGTTCCGACCAAAAGCCTTCCCCAATGGACACGGTGGCTCACACTTGTAATCCCAGCACTTTGGGAGGCCGAGGGGGGCAGATCGCTTGAGATCAAGAGTTCCAGACCAGCCTGGGTGATGTGGCGAAACCCCATATCTACTAAAAATACAAAAATTAGCCGAGCATAGGTGGTGTGTGCCTGTAATCCCAGCTACTTGGAGGCTGAGGTGGGAGGATGGCTTGAGCCCAGCAGGTCTAAGCTGCAGTGAACCCGGATTGTGCCACTTCACTCCAGCCTGGGGGACAGTGAGGCTGCGTCTCAAAAAAAAAAAACAAAAACAAAAAATGAGGCCGGGCATGGTGGTGCACGCCTGTAATCCCAGCTACTCGGGAGGCTGAGGCAGAAGAATCGCTTGAACCCGATAGGCGGACGTTGCAGTGGGCCGGGATTTCGCCACCGCACACTCCAGCCTGGGCGACAGAGTGAGACTTGGTCTCAAAAAAAAAAAAAAAAACACACACACACACACACACACACAAAAACAAACCTTCACAAAATTTTAAATGCTTAGTTTTGGGACACCATCTCTTGGAAATTTGTGGTGAAGCACAGTATCCCCAGTAATTAACATAGTGCTTAGAAACAGTGGAACCACAACTCTTTAAAATGATTTAAAAGCATTTATGTCAGATAAAGGACCGCTGGCTAGCCCTCCTACGATCCATAGCTTCGCAGTCCCCAAACAGGAAGCCGTGATTCAATGCGCAGTAGCAAATTTAGGGTGACAACGAGATACATCCCACGTAGCCCGTGATTTCCTTTTCTTTGTTAGTTTTCAATTCCTTCAGTATTACAGGGAGGAGCTCCGGCCTCCTCCGCTAAAGACTGTCGCATTTCCGCCGCTAGGCCGGAAAGCACCACCGTCCTTCCGCAGGCCTCAGTCAGCTAGGCCCAGCTCCAGCCCCGCCCGTCACCGGAAGTGAGGCGGCGGAAGTAGCGTAACCCGCTGAGAACCAGCCGGCGGGGCGCTGTGGGTTGGCGGGGTAGTGGGATGGCAGATGAGGAAGAAGACCCCACCGTGAGTGACCGTCTGTGTCCAGAACCTCTCTTTTCTTCACTCCTTCGGGCTCAGTAGCGGAGGCAGAGTTCAGGATCGGATCTGCTTGCCTTAGTCAATTCAGCCGACGGAATTCGGGGACTTCACTCCCTAAGGATTGATCATTTTAGAAAGTGGGGAAGGACATGAAGGAAGAGTAGGTTTTGTGACCCCTTTCCCCTTGATTTTGGTCTGTATTTGCCAGACACTGAAACACTTACAGAATCATCAGACGTCAAAACTAACATCTATTAGCGCTCACTATGAACCAACAGATCAATTGTTAACAAAACTGTACTTACTGTGAAGTAATGGGAAAAGAATGCATTGAAAGTCAGACAGCCTGGATTTCAAAATCTCCATTCTCTCTAAGCAAGTTATTTAACTTTGACAATCAGTTTTCTTGTTACAAAATAGGGTTACGGGCTTACTTAAGGAACGTTTTTAGCACCGTATATGCAAATGCTTAGTAAATATTAGTTTTGCTTAATTGAAAGTCTACAAAGGTAGACTTTGATTCAGTATCAACTGTTTAACAGTAGCAATAGGCCACCTTAGTTGTTTAAAAATAAAACCTATGGTCATTGTAACTCTTACACGTAGAAGCAGTAGGATTATTTGTTAGGAACATTGTAGAAGCCATTTTTGGATGAGTTGGAAATTGGACTCGATACCTAGGCTGCTTCCGTGCTAAGGTTTTGTGTTTTTTTTTTTTTTTTTTCTGCTTCCTTTAGGCTTTCTGGCCTATCTGTTGAAAAGGAAAAAACATTGTTATTATTAAAATATCAAATGCAAGGCAATTATTTGACATTTCTATATATACGTTTTCTAGTTTGAGGAAGAAAATGAAGAAATTGGAGGAGGTGCAGAAGGTGGACAGGGTAAAAGAAAGAGGCTTTTTTCTAAAGAATGTAAGTAGTATTTGACAATGATTTTGTTATAGATGATGAAAACTTTTGGACATATCCTTTCAAAGTACATTTATTGCTTTGAATGTTTCCCTGTAGTGACAATATTCTCAGACTAGCCTATCAAATTTTGTTTAACTTTTGAATCAGATAGTACCAATCCTAACCCCAGTTATATGTGTGTGTATGTGTGTCTGTGTATAAATTGCTTTTTAGGTGAGCAAATGTAGTTCGTGATTTAATTTAGGGCAGAAGAACATACCTCCATTAGTTTTCCTCTTGCCTTTGCAGCAGTAGAAACAGAGGCTTCTTTGACTGTAAGCCACAGATACTAATGGATCCTGCACCAGGTGTTGAGGGAGAGTAGCAAGTGAGTTGGGGCTTGGGCTTTGGACTAAGGCTATGAACAAAGTAAGAAGATGGTGTACAGCTGGGTGTAGTGGCTCACGCCTGTAATCCGAGCACTTTGGGAGGCTGAGGCAGGTGGATCACTGGAGGTCAGGAGTTTGAGACCAGCCTGGCCAATGTGATGAAACCCCATCTCTACTAAAAATAAAAAAATTAGCCAGACGTGCTCGCTTGAACTCAGGAGGGAGAAGTTGCAGTGAGCCAAGATTATGCCACTGCACTCCAGCCTGGGTAACACAGCAAGACTCTGTCTCAAAAAAAAAGAAAAAAAAGAAGAAGGTGGTGAATAGTGTAAGACATTAGAGTGACATGGAGGCTAGATGCAGTGGCTCACGTCTGTAATCCCAGCACTTTGGGAGGTCAAGGCAAGCATTTCGCTTGAGCCCAGGAGGTCAAGACCAGTCTGGGCGACATAGTGAAACCCTCTCTCTACAAAAAATACAAAAATTAGCAGGGCATGGTGGCACGCCCCTGTAGTTCCAGCTACTCTGGAGGTTGAGGTGAGAGGATGGCTTGAGCCCAGGAGGTGGAGGTTGCAGTAAACCCAGATTGCGCCACTGCACTCCAGCCTTGGTGACGGAACCAGACCCTGTGTCCAAAATAAATAAATAAATAAGCAAAATAAATAATGACATGGAGATTATAATGTATTGATTCTGCATCCTACCCCCTCAGTAGATGCTTTTGACCCTTTTTGGCAACAAGAGGAAGGGAGAGCTGCTGCTACTACTGATGGTACAGGCCAAGCCCTGGAACACAGCATAAGAATGTGCTCTCCATCTCCAGTCCTGGGTCCTTTATGTAAAGTTATATCTAAGTATTGAGAGATGAGGCAACACAGATTTATGAATATGGTTTATTTAGGCGGGGTTATATGTGAGCAGTTCCCAAATGCCCTTGAAACTACAGGGTCAGTATATCTTTTTTTTTTTTTGCAATTAACTGGGCATGGTGGCGTGTACCTATAGCCCCAGCTATTCAGGAGGCTGAGGTGGGAGGATCACTTGTGCCCAGGAGTTCAAGGTTGCAGTGAGCTGTGATCATGCCACTGTACTCTAGCCCCAGTGATAGAAGAGTGAGACCCTGTCTCGCCACCAGCTCCAGCTAATTTTTTGTATTTTTAGTAGAAACGGGTTTCCCCATGTTAGCCAGGGTGGTCTCAAACTCATGACCCAGATGATCTGCCTAACTCGGCCTCCCAAAGTGCTGGGATTACAGGCCCGAGCCACCATGACCAGCCATACCCAGCTAATTTTTGTATTTTCAGTAGAGACTAGTTACACCATGTTGGCCAGGCTGGTCTCAAACTCCTACCCTCAAGTGATCCTCCTGCCTCAGCCTCCCAAACTGCTGGGGTTACAGGCATGAGCCACCACACCCAGCCAGACACTCTTTATTTTTTAACCATCCAAATCCTTTTCCATATTTCGTTTCCTCACTAAAGCTGACCATTTCTTATTTCATTTCTCTGATGCTCCTTATACCGTTATGTGGTTTTACTTATTATATCAGCATAAGAATGGGATCCTTGTACCAGAGCATCCCAGAATGATGTTCAGTTGGTTGTTAGCAAAGACCTTTTTTCCAGTGAGATTAGTTTGTGATGACAGGAATTTGGAATCTTCAGGCTTCTCCTTATCTTAACTGAATATTCATAGAGGTTACTGACGAAAGATCTGTTTCGTGAACCTTAAAAAAAAAAAAATTTGCAGGAGACTAGGTACAGTGGCTCATGCCAGTAATCCCAGCACTTTGGGAGGCCAAGGTGGGAGGATCACTTGAGGTCGGGAGTTCAAGACCAGTCTGGCCAACATGGCAAAACCCCGTCTCTAATAAAAATACAAATTTAGCTGGGTGTGGTGATGCGTGCCTGTAACTCCACTACTCGAGGGCCGGACACGGTAGCTCATGCCTGTAATCCCAGCACTTTGGGAGGCTGAGGTGGGTGGATCATGAGGTCAGGAGATCGAGACCATCCTGGCTAACACAGCGAAACCCCGTCCCTGCTAAAAATACAAAAAATTAGCTGGACGTGGTGGCACATGCCTGTAGCCCCACTTACTTGGGAGGCTGAGGCAGGAGAATTGCTTGCATCCAGGAGGCAGAGGTTGCAGTGAGCCAAGATGGCGCGCTGCGCTCCAGCCTGGGTGACAGAGCAAGACTGCCTCTCAAAAAAAAAAAAAATTCCAGCTACTTGTGAGGCTGAGGCTGGAGAGTCACTGGAACCTGGGAGGCAGAGGTTGCAATAGGCCTATAGAATTTCAAAGCATTATCTGGCATTTGTTTATGCCTTTATAGACCCTTTAGCCAAATACAGTTTACATACTTCCCATATAATAAGTTTCCCTTTTCCAGTGAAATATATTTTCTGTCTGGTGAATTCTGCCCATCAAAATGTTAGTGACAAAGTATCTTCCTCGAAATATTTAAACAAAAACAGTAAACTTACAATGGAGAATTCTGGAAGACACCATGTTAATCAAGTGATCAAAGCATCACTAATAATATACAGTATATTGACATTATATGCCCCTGATATGATGCATTAAGAGGACACATCACCTTGGTGTTCTTCCTGGTAATGTCTAACTTCAATCTAACGAGGAAACATCAAAGAAACCCAAATTGAGGGATAGTCTACAAGATAACTGACCAATATTCTTCAAAAGTGTCAAGGTTTTTTGTAAACAATGGTTTCATTTAAAAAAAAGGTGTCAAGGTTTTGAAAGATGAAAAAGTCGAACTGTCAGAGAATAGAGGGAACTAAGGAGACATGACAACTAAATGGTATGGGAACCTGAAACAAAAAGGACATTGGTGGAAAAACTCGTAAAATCTGAATAAAGTCTGTACTTGTACCGATGTTAATTTCTTAGCTTTGATGACTCCCTATGGTTGTATAACATGTTAACATAAGGGGAAGCTGAATATAGGGCATATGGGAACTGTGTACTATTTTTGCAACTCAGCTGTAAATCTAAAATTATCTTTTTTTAAAAAAAAAAAAGGCAAAAAAGTACGGAATCCAAAACAGAAAGATAAAAACTATTGGCTCCTGTGTTTGTTTTTTTTCCTCCTGTTTCTGGACCTAAAGTCTCTTGCCAGTGTAAACCCTAGGGACATGTCTATCTCAAGCTGGTTTCCAAGTCACCCTTTTCTTCTGTAGGCCTGGCCTACTTTCTTCTCTTTGTACTTCTACTAGTTTTTACTTCTTCTAAATAGAGGAATTATTCTTAATTTACTCATTTCTTCCTTTAGAAGTATTCTACAAGTACCTTTTTTTTTTTTTTTTTTTTGAGACGGAGTCTCGCTCTGTCGCCCAGGCTGGAGTGCAGTGGCGCGATCTGGGCTCACTACAAGCTCCACCTCCCAGGTTCACGCCATTCTCCTGCCTCAGCCTCCCGAGTAGCTGGGACTACAGGCGCCTGCCACCATGCCCAGCTAATGTTTTGTATTTTTAGTAGAGACAGGGTTTCACCGTGTTAGCCAGGATGGTCTCCATCTCCTGACCTCGTGATCCGCCCGCCTCTGCCTCCCAAAGTGCTGGGATTACAGGCGTGAGCTACTGCGCCTGGCAGTATGTTTTTTTAAAAAAAAGAACTTAGATACAATAAGTTGTGCAAGTCTTAAGTGAACAGCTTGCTGAATTTTATGTATACTATACAGTCGGCCCTCTATATCCATGGGTTCTGCATCCATGGATTCAACCAACCTCAGATGGAAAATATTCAGAAAAAAAAAAAACTGTGTCTGTATTGAATATGTGCAGACTTTTTTTCCTGGTCATTATTCCCTAAACAATATAATATAGCAACTATTTACATAGTATTTGCATTGTATTAGGTATTGTAAGTAACCTGGAGATGATTTAAAATATAGATAGGAGATGATTTAAAATAAAATATAGATGTTTAGGTTGTATGCAAACACTATGCCATTTTATATCTGGGATTTGAGCATCTGAAGATTTTAGTGTCCACGGGAGGTCCTGGAACCAAGCTCCCAAGGATACTAAGGGGTAACTGTATACACGTGCACACACACACACACTCACACACTTGTACGCACTACTAAGATCAAGATAATAAAAGACTTGCAGCATTTGACAGAGTTTCTTACCATTTACATATACCCCTTTGAGAATCTGATGAGAGTTATAATTATTCCCAGAAAAATGCCCATGTACAGGTAATGTATAACAGGCTGGAGAGGTGTTGCAGTCACAGCTTGCTGCAGCCTCAACCTCCCTGGCTCATGTGAGCAGCTGGGACTACAGGCACATGCTACCATGCCTGGCTAATTTGTGGGGTTTTTTTGAGACAGAAGTCTCACTGTGTCACCCAGGATGGAGTGCACACCTGTTGCTTCCTGTAAGAATGTATTTGGGGTGGGGCGCAGTGGCTCACGCCTGTAATCCCAGTACTTTGGGAGGCCGAGGCAGGTGGATCACCGAGGCAGGTGGATCACGCCATCTCAGCTCACTGCAACCTCTGCCTCCTGGAATCAAGGGATTCTCATGCTTCAGCCTCCCGAGTAGCTGGGATTATAGGCATGTGCCAATACCGCCATCTGACTTTTGTGTGTTTTTTTTTTTTTTTAGTAGAGACGGGGTTTCCCCTTGTTGGCCAGGCTGATCTCAAACTTCTGGCCTCAAATGATCTGCCTCAGCCTCCCGAAGTGCTGGAATTACAGGCGTGAGCCAACATCCTGGCCTTCGCCCAGCTAATTTTTTTTTTTTTTTTTGTAGAAACAGGGTTTTGCCATGTTGCTCAGGCTTGTCTCAAACTCCTGAGCTTAAGCAGTCTACTTGCCTGGGCCTCCCAAAGTGCTGGATTACAGGTGTGGGCCACTGCATCCGACCTAGACTTACCTTTTTCATTTCATATGGTTTCTTTTTTTTTTTTTTTTTTTGAGACAGAGTCTCGCTCTGTCGCCCAGCCCAGGCTGGAGTGCAGTGGCGCGATCTCGGCTCACTGCAAGCTCCGCCTCCCGGGTTCACGCCATTCTCCTGCCTCAGCCTCCCGAGTAGCTGGGACTACAGGCGCCCACAACCGCGCCCGGCTAATTTTTTTTTTGTATTTTTAGTAGAGACGGGGTTTCACCGTGGTCTCGATCTCCTGACCTTGTGATCCGCCCGCCTCGGCCTCCCAAAGTGCTGGGATTACAGGCGTGAGCCACCGCGCCCGGCCTTCATTTCATATGGTTTCTTCAGATGAAGGCTGAAAGGGCTTTGCCAGCAGTTGTATTGATCTAGGAAATGTCAAAATTCCTTGTAGTAAGCCCTCTGCTTTCTAATTTTGATTACCCTGTTGCTTCCTGTAAGAATGTATTTGGGGCCAGGCGCAGTGGTTCACGCCTGTAATCCCAGCACTTTGGGAGGCCGAGGCGGGCGGATCATGATGTCAGGAGATCAAGACCATCCTGGCTAACATGGTGAAACCCCGTCTCTACTAAAAATACAAAAAATTAGCCGGGCGTGGTGGTGGGCGCCTGTAGTTCCAGCTACTCGACTCGGGAGGCTGAGGCAGGAGAATGACGTGAACCCAGTAGGTGGAGCTTGCAGTGAGCCGAGATGGTGCCACTGCACTCCAGCCTGGGCGACAGAGGGAGACTCCGTTTCAAAAAAAAAAAAAAAAACCGGCCGGGCTCAGTGGCTCAAGCCTGTAATCCCAGCACTTTGGGAGGCCGAGACGGGCGGATCACGAGGTCAGGAAATCGAGACCATCCTGGCTAACACGGTGAAACCCCGTCTCTACTAAAAAAATACAAAAAAACTAGCCGGGCGCGGTGGCGGGCGCCTGTAGTCCCAACTACTCGGGAGGCTGAGGCAGGAGAATGGCGTGAACCCGGGAGGCGGAGCTTGCAGTGAGCTGAGATCCGGCCACTGCACTCCAGCCTGGGCGGCAGAGCGAGACTCCGTCTCAAAAAAAAAAAGAAAAACCTATTTGGAGAACTTTCTCTCATGTCTTTTCCCCTATGGTAATATCAGTAAAGAGTCTGCCTTTTTTCCAATGCCCCTCTGCCATGCCCACACACAAAAACTGCCTCCAAAAAAGGCTAAGCTGTTGCTATCTGTCCTGTCCCCTGCCAGAGTTTCCTACTTAAAGGTGATCTGCTGGGTCAGGGACTGGTAAGTAGATGATAGAGATTAGGAAAACACTGTTTACCTTACGGTTCAGTAGCTCGGAGGAAGGAAGAGTTTGGTTGGAGGCTACATGGGAACAACTGGTCATCAGACTGTCCTTAAACCTTTTACACCAGAATCCATACTTGGAGATAACAAATACAATGCAAATATGTTTTTATACCAATATTGTCTATAACTTGGTTCACTTCTAGTTTATTTTTTTAAAGCATTAAATTGTTAAATCTGTAAAAGTAAAGAAAAGTGATTGTTCTTTTACAGTGCGATGTATGATGTATGGCTTTGGGGATGACCAGAATCCTTACACTGAGTCAGTGGATATTCTTGAAGATCTTGTCATAGAGTTTATCACTGAAATGGTAAGATTCTTTCCTAACTGGTCTTACTTAATTGAAGAATAGATTTGAAATATTAAACTTTAGGTAAGGCCGGGCGCGGTGGCTCAAGCCTGTAATCCCAGCACTTTGGGAGGCCGAGACGGGCGGATCACGAGGTCAGGAGATCGAGACCATCCTGGCTAACACGGTGAAACCCCGTCTCTACTAAAAAAAAAAAAAAAAATACAAAAAAAACTTTAGGTAAGACTAGAACTTATGTCATCCGTTTGAAATAAGCTATCCATTTGAGTGCTTGTTTGCAGAAGTTATTGGTTACTGTTTATCATTAAGGATGGAGGTTATACATACATATTCTATCCCCACTTCTTCCTTTTATTTTTTGAGACAGAGTTTCATTCTTGTTGCCCAGGCTGGAGTGCAATGGCATGATCTCGGCTCACCTTGGCTCACCGCAACCTCCACCTGCCAGGTTCAAGGGATTCTCCTGCCTCAGCCTCTGAGGAGCTGGGATTACAGGCATGTGCCACCACGCCTGGATAGTTTTGTATTTTTAATAGAGACAGGGTTTCTCTTCATTGGTCAGACTGGTCTCGAACTCCCGATCTCATTTGATCCACCAGCCTTGGCCTCCCAAAGTGCTGGGATTATAAGCATGAGCCGCTGTACCTAACCTCTTCCATTTTTTATAAGGACATAATTGTAAAATCCTTGAATAAAATAAAAATACTACCCATAATGCCATTATCCAACATAGGTTTATTTTTTTCCCCTCCTTTTCCAGTATTTAAAGATATACACTGTTTTTTTTGTGTGTGTGTGTTTGTGTGTGTGTGACAGGATCTCACTCTGTTGCCCCAGCTGGAGTGCGGTGGCATGATCATTGCTCACTGCAGCTGAGACCTTCTGGACTCAAGTGGTCTTCCCACCTCAGCCTCCGAAATACCTGGGACTATAGGCATATGTCACCATGCTCTGCTTTTTTTTTTTCTTTTTAATTTTTCTTTTCTTTTTCTTTTTCTTTTTTTTTGAGACAGAGTATTGCTCTGTCACCAGGCTGGAGTGCAGTGGCATGATCTTGCCTCACTACAAGCCCCGCCTCCTGGGTTCAAGGCATCTCCTGCCTCAGCCTCCGGAGTAGCTGGAACTACAGGCGCCCAGCACCATGCCCGGCTAATTTTTTGTATTTTTAGTAGAGATGGGGTTTTGCTATGTTAGCCAGGATAGTCTTGATCTCCTGATCTCTTGATCTGCCCGCTTTGGCATCCCAAAGTGCTGGGATTACAGGCGTGAACCACTGCGCCTGGCAAGCTCTGTTAATTTTTAAATTTTTTGTAGAGACGGGGTCTCACTATGTTGTCCGTTGGTCTGTAACTCCTAGGTTCAAGCGATCTAACCCCTCTGCCTCACAAAGTGGTGGGATTACCGGCATGAGCCACTGTGTCCGGCTCAATGCCGTATTATTAAGTATTTAGCTTCTCTTTTTTTGTCGTTAGAAATAATACTATGATAGGTCTTCAGTTTTGCACAGGTGAGTATATAATGACAGGGGATGAGATAGATTTATTTGATTTTTAGAAAACCCACCAATATTTATTGGGTATTAAGATGGAGGAGGATATGCCGGGCGCGGTGGCTCACGCCTGTAATCCCAGCACTTTGGGAGGCCGAGGCGGGCGGATCACAAGGTCAGGAGATCGAGACCACGGTGAAACCCCGTTTCTACTAAAAATACAAAAAATTATCTGGGCGCGGTGGGGGGCGCCTGTAGTCCCAGCTACTCAGGAGGCTGAGGCAGGAGAATGGCGTGAACCTGGGAGGCGGAGCTTGCAGTGAGCTGAGATCGCGCCACTGCACTCCAGCCTGGGCGACAGAGCGAGACTCCATCTCACAAAAAAAAGATATTTTTTTAAAGTGACTGTGAAGCATAAAGGGAACATTGCTAATAACCCACTAGAAAATGGACAGAGGATATGAGTAGAAAGATAATTCACAAATGAATAGCCATAATATAGCCATAATAATAAGAGAAAATCTTCGAACTCACTTGCAATTAATAAATGCAAATTAAAACAGTAAAATATTAGATTGTAAAAAATTAAATATAATATGTTTCTTTGTAATAGACTCACAAGGCAATGTCGATTGGAAGACAAGGTCGAGTACAAGTTGAAGATATTGTCTTCTTGATTCGAAAGGACCCAAGAAAGTTTGCCAGGGTTAAAGACTTGCTTACTATGAATGAAGAATTGAAACGAGCTAGAAAAGCATTTGATGAAGCAAACTATGGATCTTGACACTTTTTGTAGTTTCTGAAAATTACCATCTGGGGAAATCATATATAATAATTGTATATTTTCTAAAGTAAGGTTCTGATATCTAGCCATGTAAATGAAAGATAGAGAAAGTTTTCAGCCTTTATTTTTATGCCTTTGATTTTAGAGTGATATTGGTGTATTTAATTGCCTGCCTTTGTATTACCATACTTGAATCACTTACTGGGGTTTAATGACCACACATAAGTCAATGTACCTTGCAAACCATGCCGTTCCTTTTGACTTTTGACTATCTAAAGGATAAAGTAGTATTTGTCTGTTAGGTATGTTTATACCCTTGTAAGCTGTACTGTAGCTTTTTTTTTTTTTTTTGAGACAGAGTCTCGGTATGTCGCCAGGCTGGAGTGCAATGGCACGATCTCGGCTCACTGCAAGCTCCACCTCCCGGGTTCAAGTGATTCTCCTTCTTCAGCTTCCCGAGTAGCTGGAACTACAGGTGCCCACCACCACGCCTGGCTAATTTTTTGTATTTTTAGTAGAGGCGGGGGTTTCACCGTGTTAGCCAGGATGGTTTCAATCTCTTGACCTCGTGATCCACCTGCCTCGGCCTCTGAAAGTGCTGAGATTACAGGTGTGAGCCACCATGCCTGGACTACTGTAGCTATTTAATATGTGAAATCTAAATGGCATTTTTGACTCGACAGCTCAGACTTGTACTTCATGTATTCAGAAGTTTTTAGACAGCAACTAGTTTATTGTCTAGTTCATTATTAAAGATAATTATTATTAAAGATAATGAACTAGGCCAGGTGTGGTGGCTCACACCTGTAATCCCAGCACTTTGGGAGGCTGAGGCCGGCAGATCACTTGAGGCCAGGAGTTCGAGACCAGCCTGGCCAACATGGGAAAACCTTGCCTCTACTAAAAATTAAAAAATTAGCCAGGCATGGAGGCATGTGCCTGTAATCCCAGCTACTCGGAGGCTGAGGCAGAAGAACTGCTTTGAACCTAGGAGACAGAGATTGCAGTGAGCTGAGATGGTGCCACTGCACTCCAACCTGAGCAAGAGAGTATGACTCTGTCTCAAAATAACAACTACAGATAATGAACTGGTTTGCATTTCTTTTAAAGAGATGATAGAGGAAAATATAGTTTTTTGAGAGAATGTTTATATCTCTTAAAAGATAATCTGTTTTAATTTTCTTCAGATAACAAGTTATTATTTTTTAAGAAATCAAGTTTCACATGAATAATGCTGTGTTGGAAGGCTTTTTGATTTAAAATCTTTTCAGATTTATAACATCCTGTTAAGTTTTAGGAGAACCCGTTTTCCCAGATCAGATTCGAGCTTCTAAAAATAAATGCTTTCAGTAGCAGGAATGGCATTGCTTAAAAAGCTCATGGCAGGATAAGCATTTGGGTTAGTGTTTTATTAACATATTTGTAAGTACTTGTTCATTGTGGAAATGTGACTAAAACCATATGTGGCTATGGAACCCATGTTTGTAGTTCTGGATACACGAGTTTGTGTGTATTTAGTCTATTGTATTAAATTATTATTGCCCTCAGCTTAACGTAAGGATTACAATTGAATTTAAGTAGATCACTGATCTACTTATTGTTTATGAAACTTAACTTTTTGTGTGCCACTTATAAACATGATCTATAAATCAGTGCTTGGGAAAATTTTACTTTCCTAATCTACTGATACAGGAATAAAATATGAACAGTTAAACAGGTTGATCCTTGAATCTGACTGATTTATGACTTTTTTTCCTCCCAGAATATTGTGCCCATTACTGGTAATATGATAATTCTTGCTGCTTAGTCTAACTGAAAATTTTTTTTATTTCAGTGCATATCAGGGTGAATCATTTCATTTAAAAAAGCAGGGCTGGGCACCATGGCCCATGCCTGTAATCCCAGCACTTCGGGAGGCCTAGGCAGGAAAATCTCTTGAGCCCAGGAGTTGGAGACCAGTCTGGGCAACGTAGACCCCATCTCTGCAAAAATCAAGGCCAGGCACAATGCCTCACACCTGTAATCCCAGCACTTTGGGAGGCCAAGGCGGGTGGATCACTTGAGGTCAGGAGTTCAAGACCAGCCTGGCCAACATGTTGAAACCCTGTCTCTACAAAAAATACAAAACAATTAGCCAGGCATGGTGGCATGCCTGTAGTCCCAGCTACTTGGGAGGCTGAGGCGGGAGGATCGCTTGAGCCCAGGAGTTGGAGACCAGGCTGGGCAAGATGACAAGACCCCATCTTTGTGAAAAATAGAGCCAGGCACAGTGGTGTCCGTTTGTGGTCCCAGCTACTCAGGAGGGTGAGGGGGGAGAATCGTTTGAGTCTGGGCGGTCAAGGGTGCAGTAAACTGCTTACTCTGTCACCCAGGCTGGAGTGCAGTGGCACAATCACGGCTCACTGCCTTGACCTCCTGCGCTCAAATAATCCTCCCACCTCAGCCTCCCGAGTAGCTGGGACTACAGGCATGCCTGGCTAGAGAAGCTATTTCACTGTGTTGCCCAGACTGAGTGGGGCTTTGCATTAAGACTATTTTAGGTTGCAAGTGATACAACTTAACTCAAAACTATTAATAGCATAAACAAGGCAGTTATTGGCTTACCTCACCGAAACATGGAAAAGAAGGGATGGAGCTGAATTTAGGGTTGACTGGATCTAAGTACTTGAGAAGCAAGACACTGTCTCTCTGTCTTTTATCCTAATTTTGGTTTTATTCTCAGAGTGGCAAAGGAACATGATGGCCAGCAGTTCTAGGGTTCCCTCCTTACAACTCCAAATTGAAGAAGCTGCTTTACTTCGTAATATAGAACATTCCAAGCAAGGATTATGACAATCCGAGCTCTGCTTATTTTCTTCCTGGACCAGTCACTATGGCCAGGAAGAAGTTGTGCTATAGCCCGAATCTCATGCCCCACTTCTGGTAAGAAAGAGCTTGGAGTGGGATTGGGATACTGCATACTGCTATTAACAAAAAGGGAAAAGAGGCTCGGCGGGCTGACTTGATTCACGAGCTTGCTTATTAACTTCAAATTCTGGTAGTAAGGTGGCATGGCTGTCTTCCAGTATCTCCAGCTGCACTGTGTAAATGGTAGCCACTAACCACATGTGGCTATTTACATTTTAAAATGAAAAATTCAGCTGGATGTGGTGGCTTGCGCCTGTAATCCCAGGTTTTTAGGAGGCTGAGGCAGGCATATCACTTGAGGTCAGAAGTTCAAGACCAGCTTGGCTAACATGGTGAAACACCATCTCTACCAAAAATACAAAAATTTGCCATGTGGTGGCACATGCCTGTAAGCCCAGCTTCTCGGGTAGCTGAGGCAGGAGAATCACTTGAACGCAGGAGGCAGAGGCTGCAGTGATCCGAGATTATACTACACTCCAGACTGGGCAACAGAGTAAGACTCTGTCTCAAAAAATAAAATATTTAAAAAATGATGATAAAATGAAAAATTCACTTCCTTAGTTGCGTTTGCTATATTTCTTTTTTTTTTTCACCCAGGCTGGAGTGCAGTGGCGTGATCTCGGCTCACTACAAGCTCCACCTCCCAGGTTCACGCCATTCTCCTGCCTCAGCCTCCCGAGTAGCTGGGACTATAGGCGCCCGTCACCACGCCCGGCTAATTTTTGTATTTTTAGTAGAGACGGGGTTTCACCATGGTCTCGATCTCCTGACCTCGTGATCTGCCCGCCTCAGCCTCCCAAAGTGCTGGGATTACAGGCGTGAGCCACTGCACCTGGCCATGTTTCCTATATTTCAAGTGCTCAAAAGCCTTATGGTAAGCGGGTATAGCATTGGACAGTGCTGATATGGAACATTGCCATCATCACAGAAAATTCTTTTGGACAGTGCTGATCTGGAATATATAGGTGCTCTCTCCTAAAATAATTCACTTTTTTTTTTTAACTTCGTATGGAAAATCTCAAGTATACACAATAATAGTGTAACTAGTCCCCAGCTTCAACAAGTAACCAACTTTTTGCCAATTTGTCCTATCCCCCTACCTTTAAATAATTTTTTTATTTTTATTTTTGGACCTTGGTTTCAGAACCCTTACCTTTTTTAAGGTAGGAGGACAGTATTATTTTAAAGCAAATCTGGCTGGGTGCAATGGCTCACGCCTATAATCCCAAAACTTTGGGAGGCCGAGGCGAGTGGATCACCTGAGGTCAGGAGTTCGAGACCAGCCTGCCAAGATAGTGAAACCCTGTCTCTACTAAAAATACAAAAATTAGCTGGGCATAGTCACGGGAGCCTGTAATCCCAGCTATTCGAGAGTCAGGAAAAAGAATCCCTTGAACCTGGGTGGTGGAGGTTGCAGTGAGCCAAGATCGTGCCATTGCACTCCAGCCTGGCAACAAGGCCAAGACTCCATCTTAAAAAAATAAAAAATAAAGCAAATCCCAGACATCCTTGTATCATTTCATCTATAAATACTTCAGTATATATATTTTTTTCTTTTTTTCTTTTTTTTTTTTTTTGTGTGTGTGTGACATAGTCTCACTCTGTCACCCAAGCTAGAGTGCAGTGGTATGATCTTGGCTCACTGCAACTTCCACCTCCTGGCTTTAAGTGATTCTCCTGCCTCGGCCTCCCGAGTAGCTGGGATTACAGGCATCTGCCACCATGCCTAGCTAATTTTTGTATTTTTAGTAGAGATGGGGTTTCACCATGTTGGCTAGGCTGGTGTTGAACTCCTGACCTCAAGTGATCCACCTGCCTCGACCTCCCAAAGTGCTGGGATTACAGGTATGAGCCAACGTGCCTGAGCTTCAGTGCATATTTCTAACAAAGTTTAAAAAGCCCAAATAGTATTACCATATTCTATCAAAAATTAACACTATTTCCTCAATATTCCATCTGATACCCAATTCCTGTTAATTTTAAAATTTTTTTGAAATAGGATCTTGCTCTGTTGCCCAGGCTAGAGTGCAGTGGCATGATCATGGCTTACTATAGTCTTTTCCTCCTGGGTTCAAGCAGTCCTCCTACCTTAACCTCCCAAGTGGATAGACTACAGGTGTGCAGCACTACTACTGGATAATTTTTAAAATTTTTTTGTAGAGAGAGGGGTCTCACTATGTTGCCCATGCTGGTCTTGAACTCCTGGGTTCAAGTGATCCTCCTGCCTTAGTCCTGCCAAAGTACTGGGATTGCAGGTGTGAGCCACAGTGCCTGATGCCAAATCCCTCTTTAAATCTTGCTGATTTGTCTCAACATATCTTTTTTGAGTGTGTGTATTATTTCAATTGTTACTGTAACAAATTACAGCTCATTTAGTGACTTACACACATTTATCATTTAACTAATTCTCTAGGTAAGAAGTTTGACCCCGGCCGGGCGCGGTGGCTCAAGCCTGTAATCCCAGCACTTTGGGAGGCCGAGGCGGGTGGATCACGAGGTCAGGAGATCGAGACTATCCTGGCTAACATGGTGAAACCCCGTCTCTACTAAAAATACAAAAAACTAGCCGGGCGTGGTGGCGGGCGCCTGTAGTCTCAGCTACTTGGGAGGCTGAGGCGGGAGAATGGCGTGAACCCGGGAGGCGGAGCTTGCAGTGAGCCGAGATCACGCCACTGCACTCCAGCCTGGGAGACACAGCGAGACTCCGTCTCAAAAAAAAAAAAAGAAGTTTGACCCCAGCCCGAATCACGAATCACGAGGTCAGGAGATCGAGACCATCCTGGCTAACACGGTGAAAACCCATCGCCACTAAAAAACACAAAAAATTGGCTGTGCGTGGTGGTGGGTGCCTGTAGTCCCCGCTACTCAGGAGGCTGAGGCAGGAGAACGGCATGAACCCAGGAGGCGGAGCTTGCAGTGAGCCAAGATCGTGCCACTGTACTCCAACCTGGGTGACAGAGTGAGATTCCATCTCAAAAAAAAAAAAAAAAAAAAGAAGTTTGACCCTAGCCTTACTGTGCTAAAATCAAGGTGCTGACACAGTTGTGTTCCTTTCTGGATGTTCTAGGAGACACCTGTTTGCTTGCCTTTTCCAACTTGTAAAGGCTACATTTCTTGGCTTCTGTTACCCTTCTTCAAAGCTAGCAATGTTGCATCTCCCTGGCCTGTGACTCCAGCTGGTAAGGATTCTCTGATATTGGACCCACCTGGATAACCCAGAATACTCTCCCCATTTCAAGGCTCTTAAGTTAATCATGCAAGCAAAATCTCTTTTTACCATGTCAAGTAACATATTCTCAGGTCCTGGGAATTAGGATGTGGACTTTTTTTTTGAGATGGGGTCTCGCTTTGTGACCCAGGCTGGAGTGATCATAGCTCACTGCAGCCTCCAACTCCTGTCAAGCAATCCTCCTGCCTCAGCCTACTGAATAGCTAGGGCTCCAGGCAACGCACCATGATGCCTGGCTAAAGGAAATAGACATCTGTGAGGGGTTATTATTCTGCTTCCCACAGTTTCTTTGAAATAGGATCTAAACAAGGTGTCACCCATTGCATTTGTTTGGTATATCTAAATTTCTTTTAATCTATAATAATTCCCTCCAAACGTTGTGACTTTTTGTTGTTGTTGTTGTTGTTGTTGTTGTTAGAGACAGGGTCTTGCTCTGTCACTCAGGCTGGAGTGCAGTGGCAGGATCATAGCTCACGGCACCTTGAACTCGTGGGTTCATCATCCTCATTCCTCAGCCTCCCAAGTAGCTAAGACTACACTGCACCTGGCTAATTTTTTTCTTAATTTTGTAGGGATGGAGTCTCACTGTGTTGC